TGGGCAACCTGATCTTATGCCTGACTTAGTGGTTGGCAACCCTGCCTATGGCAGGGGGGTTGGAACTGGATGATCTTTGAGGTCCCTTCTAACACAATCTTTTTATGATTCTATGATTTTCCAATGTGTCTGACCTAGATTAGACTCCAATGTGACAAGAAGAGGTCAAGGAGGAAGAAGTACTGAAATCACAAGGAAATTGTCTGTTATCTGTGATGCAGAAGATGAGGTTCACATTGCCGTGAATGGCACTCCCTCTCAGCCCTTCTGGAGACAGTCATAAGGGTAGGAATATCACCTTTCAATATCTGAGCGGTATGCTCGAATTTTCTTTTCACATCTCTCCAGTTTCAAGAAGAACCCAAGTGAATCACGCTGTCTGGCTATAAAAAGGGAAACTAAAAGAAATGTCAGATGTCACTGTGGCTTTTTCACGTTATCATTCAGTTGTTCAGACAGGAAGTAGGCCTGCATCCTACTCACTGGGGCAGACAGAGGAGACAGCTGCCTCCAGAGTCTCTTTACCAGGAGGGACTGCCCCTTTCGGAGCAGGGTTGTTTCCTTTTCTTTTAAACACAGTTTTGTTTCAGACCTCTGTTCTGCAAACCTAACTTACCCTCCGGATTTTTCAGAAGATTCCACACGTAAAAGGCAATGTTTCAAGGTGTTCTGTCTGCTGAAATTTCGTCTCATTTTCATTTCAATCCAGATCTTAAGCCATACTCATCTACTCCCAGACCACAGGGAATGGTGGAGATGAAAAATATTTCATTTTATATTTGGAAGCCTGATTCTCATCTCAACACAATAATTAGTAAGAGAACCACTGAAATCCACGGTAAATGAGCTTAAATAAAAAAGCTCAGAATACATTAATGCTTAAAGTGAAGGAATAAAGCAGCCTGTCAAGATAGGCTCAGATTTCTTCTTAGGCTTGGTCACTGAAAACATTTCACACTCACACTGTCCTGCCACTCAGAATAAATGGCAGCTGCAGATCCCCCATGAATATTTGTTGCCCCAACTAAACTATGAGAATGTATTTTACACATCTCAAAGGACCCACTGGCCGTTCTGCAGTCAAATTCTTGCATCCTATTCACAAATGCACTCCTAGTTTGTAAGGTTCAAAACAACAATGCAGTACAAAAGCTGAAGAACCTGGCAACTTTAATGGATATGTCATAGTCTATGTGTTAAAGAGAGTTGCAAAGAGGTAAAGCAGGCTATTCAAATAGCTGCATAATCACCTTCTCACATGCATGATTGACAGCTAGAAAATGATCAGGTATCCTCAAGGAGGCACTCGTTTCTTCTCTTCAGGAAGACTGAGTTGCTGCCTACTCCAAATCATCCTCTTTCTTGAGACTGTGGTATTAAAACTAAGAGACCAGTCAGTGGTTAGACCAACAGTATCTTCAGTAGATACCCTCTCTGGTTTTGGCTTTCCTTTAATGCTGAGATTGGATTTTCACAGGCATAAATAAATTCCTACAGATTTGAAAGTAGCGCCTAGTAAGCCTGTACTGGTTCTTGCCATTTAATGATAGGAATCTGAGCTTGGAGTCTTAACATGTAAAGGATGCTTATGACTAGCTCACATTGTCTCTCGTTGGCTAACGGCATATAGAGAGCACATGGGTCACTTAGTGCTATCACAGACGATGGCCTCTAACATGAGGCATCCCTCAGATATCCACCCTGTTGTCCATGTGCTGAGCTTTGTTAGTGAGCCCAGGCCAAAGCTCAGACTTAGAGAATTACCAGCTTTCTGAAAGAACAGCATTATAACAGTGCAGACAAAGCACTCCTATGTGCTTTGTGCTGTGCAAACTGAGAGACCAAGTGATAAATGTGTCAGGAGTGTTTTGGATTCAAGAAGCAATGGAATGTCCTTTATATCTTTCGTAATAAGAGTCTGTTTGGATTAAAACAATCTCCATGTAAGCAAAAAAAAAATTACCAGTCTTCCCATTTTAAAACTGCCAGAGCTTCTTATACAGGCCTCTATTCAAACAGTGTAAGGGAAGAGGAATAGGGGACTTTTTTGTTTAATTCAAATGACGTGGTGTGTATTTCTAACTTAAAAAGCAAGACAGAAAATGAACTCTGTCTGAGGCAAAAGATTTAGAAGAAAAAGGAAAGTATGAACGTAGGATGTGGTCTGAACACAAAGGCAAGGCAAACGAACACTTTTAGTCATTGACAGAACATGCATTTTTATGAGTGTTAACAGAAATTTGGTGTGATGATTCCTATAATGACATCTCAGCCAATACAGCTGGTCTACACGCAGAAAGGAAGGAAGCTGGATTCACAGTGGCATCTATGCAAAGTACTCTAAACATAATTAAAAAACAATTTCATGCATTCTGGGAAGATCTGAGATTGACAGCCCAGTACAGTTGCAAACCATGGTTGAAAACAAGGAAATTCCAACAGAAGAAATGCAAATTTGTACATCATCTAAATATAACTGTGGAGACAGCTATCCTACCAAGACCAGGAGCCAGGAAAGCACTAAGAATTGGTCAATCTAGACCAGGACTGTTTTCTCCAAAACCTGGCAAAGCACAGTTGGAGAAGAAATGGCAAAAAGGTGAAGGTCACTAAGCACATTTTTGCCAGAAGGTGGACACATGGAAAACATACATTTAAGATAAAACGATTAAATACAGTTTATTATCTAAGGCTTAATTCTCAATTACCACTGCTACAAAATCTCAACTACCACTTTCCTTCTATGCAACTTCCATTCTTCTCCCAGCAGAAATATCACCCTCTGGCTACAGGAGAAAGTACCAGAATAACTTCCACAGCACTTCCCTCTCCCTCCAAATGGAACCAATTCAGCTTTCCAATTTTTCTGTTATACTCCAAAAGGTCTCTCCACATACTCACCGCACTAAGTGTAAAGGAATCTGGTCACCTCTTCCTTCCCCTTCTGGACAAGATGTGACACTAACCTGTTTATTTTACTTTTTAATTTTATTTATCATTTTTTAACTTTTTTGCTCTGCTTACAGTCTTGTCTGCTGCTCTCTCCACCTCTCACTTCACTCAGTAACCCAAATCCAGACCCTATGCTTGCCTCCTGTTACACACCTGATGACACTTGACCCAATCTGGCTGCCCTTCTATCTCCACGCTCCTCTGGGCTCCCTTCACAGCCTTCCCCTGCTATAACTTCTCATGGCAGCACTCCCATCTTAAAGGCTTCTGTCCTCAGGTTTTCCCTCTTGCCTCTAGCAGTACATGGCAGGACTGCCCTGCTTCTGCCCTACTGCAGACACCCAAGCTATTTTCTCCCTCACATCGCAGCCCGGACAGAGACATGCATTTTTTTCTGCTGTTACTGCTTCTAAAGGCACGTTTTCATAAAGATGCTTTTTTTTTTTTTTTTTTTTTTTTTTTTTTTCTCTCACATGGCCTTCCCTTTCTCTTCTTCCTCTTCTCTCCTGCACTTTTGAATAATCTTGCATTCAAACCCTTTCTCTGCTCCCAAATTGCTCTCAGCCATAATTCAGCTTGTGTTTCCTGAGAAACTGTGGGTAGTTTCTCATTCTTTTTCCAACCTGAGCCAGCCTTGGAATGGATGCAGATCACAGAATCACAGCATGGCTGAGGCTGGCAGAGACATCTGGGTCCATCCACTCCACCCAGAGCAGGGTGCCCAGGCCCATGGCCAGGTGGCTTCTGGAGATCTTCGAGGAGGAGACTCCACAGCCTCTGGAAAACCTATGCCAGTGCTTGGTCATCCTCACAGCACAGAAGCACTTTTTGATGTTCAGACAAACCTCCTGTGTTCCACCTTGTGCCCATGGCCTCTTGTCCTGATACTGGGCATCACTGGAAAGAGTCTGGCTCTATACTCTTTGCACCCTCCCTTCAGACATTTATGGACATTGATACTGATGAGATCCCCCTAAGCCTCCTTTCCTCCATGCTGAACAGTCCCAAGATGCTTGTATGCTAATGATAACCTGACCCTAGAGGTGGAGGATTCTTCCCAATTTTGTTTTCATTCTCTCTGCAGTTATGACTCAACTTTCCCCTCACCTGGAGGGCCCCTCATCAGGCTGTGTTCTGTCTTTCTTTGTTCCATCGTTGAACTTCCCCTCCTACCACGGTCAATCCTCTTTCAGCATCACCCATCACTTCTGGCCTTGTGCATATAATCTGACATCCATGGGACTTCCAATGCATGCGCATCTGCTCCCAGCATTTTGTCCATTTCTACTACCATAAGCTTTGCTGATTCTCTCTTTATGCTTTGATTCTTTTCCCCTTTTTCCCCGCTTCAAGTTGCATACTGGCATCAACTCAGCTGCAACAACTGTTCTTCCACAACAACTGCCACCACGAAGTTGTTCTCTCCCTTTTCCATTCACTTGTTCCATGCAGCACTTAGCACAGCCGGCATCTGGCCTGTCGGCAAGGCATCGTGAGCACTGCACTGAATGCAAATATAATCACATGGCTGGGGAAGTTGTTCCTGCCATTCATGTGAACAGTTAACTGCTTTTGTTAATTAACTTTTCACTGCCATGGAGTTTTGTAGCAATCTTTATGCTGGCTGAGACGGACCCTCTCCTGCAGGAATGGTTGAATAATAGCACCAGCTGAGCATGTTGTAATTATCACAGCCTCAGCACTGGGGAAATATAAGACTTCTGGTGGGTGGAAGCCATTGCCTCTTTCTTTTCCTGTGTGCCCAGGCTTATCACAGGATGTCATTCAAGGTTAAAAAGCTTAACATCCCTGCTGGTCATGCCTTTCCCCCTGGAGAAGACATGTGATGGATATGATAAAAAAGAGTTGTATTTCAGCTGTGCAGTCCGTTCAGGCTTGTCCTTCTCTACCTTACCCAATGGTGTCCCAAAACCGACATGTGACCCTGTGTACATGAGGGATTAATCACTTGGATTCCATTTTAGTGACATGGAGATCACTAAAGGCTGGAGGCAAGCAAAGAGAACCACAGCTATATTGCTTGCCCCACATCTGAGGGAGTGTGCCGGACTTTGGTTTTGCCACTGTAATGTGTAAATCATTAAGGAATGTTGACTCTAGTTGTGTTTGAGAACTCCTTGCCCTGCAGCTTCCTGTGCCCCCTTCTCTTGCCTGTTAGTGATTTCTTCATTGTGTGTTATGCAAACAGGTGAATATATTTTTCTTGTTCCTATACACTAATTTCCATTCCTTTGTTCTCCTCTTGATTTCTGAAAGGATGCCACTAGGTATTTCTGCTTGAATGCTACATTTTCTAACATGAACATGTCTGACCCTCTATTTATACATCTTTAACAGCCCTTTATATTCTTTATCTGCATCTTGCTGTGAAATTCAGCCAAGATCAAGTAGAGGAAGGCAATGGTTCAGACTTAAACCAGATCAGTAATAACATTAATGCTTAAGTATAACACCTAGCAATTCCCAATGATGACTTTGTACTGAGTTTGCACCTGGAAATCCAGTCTTGCCCTCAGTCCTGAGGATGTATGTGGCTTGCCTCAGTTTACCTACACTTGGGACTGAGGCACTGCATGCTCTGCAGACAGCCCTGCTGCGATGGTACTGGCAAAGTTCCTGGATTCCGCAGCAATCTGGTGTAGGCAAAAGCCAATTCTGCCTCTGCTTCTTTTCTACTTTAACAAAGGATTTGTTTAATTAAATCACTATAACAATTAACAATGAGGACAATACAATCGTATCTGTGTTCAGTCATTAAATATCACTTTCCCTTTATTTAGCAACCTCGCTTTTCAGTACACCACAGTGTTCACTTTTGAGTTAGATTTATTTGTTGGCGTGTTGTTGGTTCTTTTTTTACATCATCAGAGTTTCCCTCTGTTGTGGCATTTGTGAAAAGGACTCTCCCTCAGGCAAAACCAACAGGATACTTTATAAAAAGGACACTGCTGTTTAAACCACGAGGAAGTGCTTGTATGAAAAAGCAGGCTAATAATGAGCACTCATTCCTAAGTTTATACATGAGATCTCCATGCTGCCTCTGCTCTTATTTGCTGATGGTTAAATATTATTGTTGCCTAGAACAGAATTTGTCTGTGTTCTCCTGTCTGCACATAATCTGCTGATTTCTTCTTTCTTTCTATACTATCTGTGCTTCACAAATACAAGTAAAAAAAGATTTTTGTTAAATAGACGCAATATTATTTTGCTGTAATGTAAAAAAACACCCATAGAATTGTGAACTTATTTTTGGCACTCTGAATGCAGTGCACAGTTCCAGCTTTGCTGAACATTAAAAATGCAAATAATTTTTATGTAAATTCCTTGGACGAAGTAACTAAATAGGCTATAGTTTTCCTTTGCCTGGACTGACCTTATGACTAAAACTCTGCCAAAATTTTACAGATTTTCCTATGGTCTGTTCTCCAAACAATGAGATCCAAAAGCTGCCAGACTTTTCATTAATTGGTTCTTCAGTGATGTTAGAAAAGCAAGAATATAAGCCTGAATGTGTTTGTTTACTTATCATCTGCTGCTCCTAAACTTCAGGTTCTACGTTTATCCAACAAACAACTTTTCCTCCATTATCTCAACACTACAGTGTATTCAACATTTTTCTTTCCTCTCCTTGGAGACTTTTGGCCATTTGCTTTCTCTCATTACTACATTCCTAATACTGAGTGGAGTACTCCCCTTTCCTCAGGATGGCCCTTCTGGGGATGAATGGATGGCTTGGGAAAGAAAAGACAAACTTTGGTTAGTACAAAATGTGTACGACGGTGGCTTCGTTGTGTGGGGCAGCTCTGGGAAGACAGAAGAGCTTCGGTCAGTATGGTAAAGAATAGAAAGTCAGTGTTAAAGAAAGCAATCAGATGAACCTATAAAGAAAATACAACTATCCAAAGTTCGTTCTCCTCCGCCTCTTTCCTGGCTGGCTCCCCGAGAGTCACTGCTGTTGTCACGTCCCTGGGCAGGAAGGAAAGGGGGGTGAGAGCCTCCAGGAGGGCAACTCGTTGCTACTCCTGCAGGGCCACCCCCGATCCCGCAGCCGTCACAGCGACATGGCTCCGCGTCCTCTGCTGCCACCTAGTTGCCTGCTGGGGCACTGCCTGGTTAGCACGGCCAGGACAGACAGACAGATATGCTCACATTAGCGGAAAGGCAGCCGCTGTCTGCTAATGAGAACTTATGCTAAGTCAAGGTGGACGAACGTTTGAGCTCACCCTCAGGCTGGCTGAATGTGTCAAGCCCAAGGCTCAACGCATCGTGACCAGCAAAACCAGTATCATGGCTCTGCTGGGCTTGTGCATCGTGCCAGCTCCCTCACTAACCTTCTCTGCTGTCCAGTGGTTATTCTTCTTCCCAGATACTACCCTTCCAGGCTTTCCTTCTTCCTTGCTTTTCCCCCTTCCTACCCTGGCATAGAAAGTTTATGGCAGAAGACTCAAGAACCAACAAGGCTGCCTTGGGAAGACTGCAATGAAGACTTCCTCTAGTTTCTGAGGATTGTTTCATGGAATCACAGAATCATTTCAGTTGGAAGGGACCCTTCAAGGTCATGCAGTCCAAGTCCCTTGCAATGAACAGGGACACCTACAGATAGATCAGGTTGCTCAGAGCCCCATCCAGCCTGACCTTGAGTGTCTCCAGGGACAGCACTTTCACCACCTCTCTGGGCAACCTGTTCCAGTGCCTCACTACCCTTATTGTAAAAACCTTTTTCCTTAAATCCAATCTAAATCTCCCCTCTTTTAGTTTGAAACAACTTCCTCTTGTTCTACCAAAGCAGACGTTGCTAAAGGGTCTGTCCCCACTAAAGATTTTGTCCCCTTCCTTTAAGCAGTCCCTTCATGAAGACACAGAAGGAGCACTCCAACTCATTCAAGCCTTTTTTTTTTTTTAATTGTTTAATAGCCCATAAAGTAAAATAAATCCATGAGCTTAAGAACGTTGTTTCAGCTGAAAGCATCTGCATTAACATCACAGTGACTTAGCCTCCTGTTGGTGTGTCCTTGAGGTAAATATACACATTATTTTTTATTCATCTTCATGAGTTTGGACAAGCGCTGCGCTCAGCCTTCAAAAGTCACTGTAGGTCCAACTCTGCAGCAGCGATGTAGTATGTGGGATCAAACAAGGTAAGCTCTGAGCTTGTAACAATTAATTTTTTAGCTTTTTTCCAAAGTAGAATAAACAACATTAACCCAGGAAAGCCAATTATCATGTAATAATACCTACAGGGCCCATAAATGTTGAATAATTTAGAGTAAACTTTGCATTGAGTGCCATGAATTAAAATCTTAAAAAAAAAAAAAATCTAATAAAAAAGAATCAAATCAGCTAGCTCGGCCTGAAATATCTACTCCAGGACTCTGTG